GCCACCCTGGGGAATTTGCTCCCCTCCTGAGAAGTCACAGTGCGCTTGGATTTCATTATGAGCAATGTTTGTGGAATGCAAGGGACCTGGCCCCCTTGGTTATGTAAATAACATGCCAGTCGGGGTATGCAAAGGTGTTCAGAGGTCTTAGGGCTGGGTTGCTTATAAATTAAAGGTTGTTTTTATTAATACTCTGAGCAAAGCTCTTGCCAGATTTCACTGGACTTTGCCCACAGGGAGTTCTACTCTGTTTGGAAACAGAAGATCAGGGCCTTCATCCATCTCATTAGCCTGTGAGTTATTTATGTAACATTTTGGGGGAACATTTTTGGCTCCAGGAGACAGAACCTTATCAGGATCAGCCTTGTGGGTCAAATTTGACAGGTGAATCGGACAACTCACCTGTCAATTATGTGATGCTCACCAGCTGAAGGCGGGCTGCCAAGCCAATAAGTATCCAGACCACACAACCAAAAAGATTCCTGAGCCCTGCCTTATGGAATAGATAATGGGTGGGATTCACCTAACCGGTCCTATCAGCAGAAGCCCTCCATAAGGATTTCTTCTTCCACAACAGGGCTTTTCCCCTTTCCCAAGCATCCTGTCCCCCTGAAATTGGCTCGGAGTGGGAGATCAGGAACATCTTTAAAACAGCATGCAGGGTGAGGATAAGGGATATCATTCAATCTGGCAAGCTGGAAGGCTTATGCAGCCAAAATGATTGGAAGAGCATAAAACTGAGCAGACTTAGCTATGAAGCATGGTGGCACAGAAAAAAAAGGAATTGTATCAGAGAGGCAGAGTTGAGGGGAAATTGGTGCTGGGAATTAAATGAAAGTACCAGTGGAAGGACATGGGGTCATGAAATGGTACAGAGTTTAGCTGAGGGCCATTTTCTTATGTTCATGTAGTTCTTAGCATGATTTTCATATAAAAAAAGGTGTCAGACAAATTGGCTCCTAATGGGAAATAGAGTGCTTTAACAGTGTTAAAGTCACTTTTAGGACTTTGCCACCTTGGAGAGGCGTTTATTAACCCAAACTAAGAACTGAATCGGAAATGCCAGATGGTTGTACCATTTCAGAAAGCACATGGGAAATCATACATATGAAGACACATCAAAAACTATTTGCATTTGGAAAGCTAACACAAGAGTGAAAAGAACTAGCCTACTTTTTTCCAGATGTGCTAGCTTTCCACATTCAGTGAGGGAGTTTTTGCCATGATGCGGTAATCAAACACATAATTCAACACAATTGTTTTGATTTCGTATAGTACCAGGTGGACTACTTTGTAAGTTTTTCTGTAATGTTTAAATTGCCTCTAAATGGATGAAGAAAGGCATAGGGTGAAAGCAGGAACTTGAGAATGGAAGAGTTATTTGAGAATTAAAGGTAAAGGTACCCCTGACCGTTAGGTCCAGTTGCGGACGACTCTGGGGTTGCAGCGCTCATCTTGCTTTATTGGCCGAGGAAGCCAGCGTACATCTTCCGGGTCATGAGAATTTTGAGAATTAGGATGCATCATATGACATCTTAGAAGCCAAAACAAATGGATGTCCTCACAATTTTGGCCCATAATAATCGGCTTTCTATATTATATTTGCACTAGTCTGTCACCATGCTATTTTTACACATTTGCTAGAAATTTCTTCTAATATACTGTATTTTTTATGTTATTCTCAGTAAATGTTGTTTGCAGATGATACAACCTTGACAGTGGATTCCGAGGAAGCTCTACAGAGACTCATCAACCATTTTGCCCAAGCCTGCAGGGAGCTCGGCCGTACCATTATCCTGACAAAGACTAACACCCTGGGTCAAGACGTCACTTCTCCAAAAGGGTATGGGAGAATGTGATGCTAGTGTCCAATACGAGGCTTGCATGTTGAGCACACCAGGAGCACACCTCAACGTCTTCTACAAGCACTGCGTCAGGAAGATTTGGGGCATCACATGGCAGGACAGAATCCCAAAGAAGGATGTGCTCCCCTAAGCCCTCATTCCTAGCACGTTTGTATTCCTATCTCAATAGCATCTATGCCAGCCTGGTCACGTCCACAGAATGCAAAGTGGCAAGATCCCTAAGGATCCTGGCTTCAGGCACCGGGCCTGTTGGCATGTGGGAGCCAGGAAGTCATGAAAAAGGCTTGTAGCGCCACCTGGTGCCTCGCTGACCTCAGTGACCTGCATGTCCGTGCCTTGCAGTGTATTAAGTGCATAGCCTTATATGGAGTTATGTTCCCCCTCTGGGCAGTAATAACCCTATATGGCGATGGGTGGGTTTAAGCCATGACCGGATGTAGGTAATGTGAGACATTGGAAAACGGCCATGCAAGAGGAGAGAACAAAGGATAATAAAAGTTACGGGAGAGAAGAGAAGTTCGAAAGGAGCTGCTCATACCATCCTGAAAATATTGCTGGCTGTGTCTTTATTTTATGCTAAACTGCGCCATTTGTGACGGCTGGCTCCGTCATTGGCAGACCAACTCTGTGCTACAAACCTGTTTGCAAACGTGACCTGACCCCAGAAGCATTGTTTCCACTACCTGCTACTTGGCCGATCCTGCCAATGTACATACTCACAATAGTAGATGAGTGCACTTATTTATATGTCAGATGCCCCAAGTGATTTGTTTTTTAAAGGGCATTGATGAAATCCAATGAACTAAACATTGCAAGGCTCAGTGATGGAAGTGGGGAAGTGGGTTGTGTACAGATGTCATCAGCTATATTTTCTTTTAAAGCTCAGCCCCAAATCCTGGGATTTTTTTTTAAAAAGCACAGACAAAATGCATGACTTTTGGAATACCTTTCTGGCAAAAAACTGAAGTGTTACTAAGTTACAAACAGAAACATAACACTAATTCCTTGCTTTCAAATAAATGCTTGAAATTGGCTCCAGTATTTTTGCATCTAATAATTTCTGACATTTGGCAGATTGCAGTATACAGATTGTGTAGGGTGGTAGCAGCAGCAGCAGCAGATTGCTCCAGCCCCAGAAAAAAACCTGATGCTATGGTGCCATCTGGTGACCAGAACTGAAAGGAAGCAGCCAGGAGGAAATGGTTGTTTTGTGTGACGCTTATGTGATGGGTCACAGAAATGTAGATAAGGATGATGGGCAATGATCTCTGAGAAGTGAAGAAATCATCTTAAAACAGCTCAACAGAACCATTCTTCCATGTAAAGCCTCATTCAGTGTGATCTCCTGGAGGAGAATGTTGTTGCATCAATTGCAATTCCCCGTGTCTTCTTTCACGAGTGTGGATTCATCATCCTCAGAGGCTGATAATGTTTACTTTCGCCTTCTCACTGCTGCCCTTCAATATTCAGGACTGAGGTGGGATATCAGTAGAAACAAGTCGTTGTGCCAAGAGAGTCAAAATACGACATAGCTCACACAGAGAGGTAACAAATGAACTTGCCTGTTCAGTGTGTGGCAGACTCATGTCTTTCCCTTGATTCTGATCCTACACAAAGTATTTGGCAATTTTTCTTTTGTCCTGGTGCTTTACGGATGAGCAATCTATGGCCTATGTGGCCCTCAGCCTAATTTCATGTGAGCTGTGCCCTGATTTCATTCAGGTCACAAAAGGGGGAGAAAGAAGGTAACAGAAAGGACTGGCAAAGACGGGGAGAAAAGGCTCTGGCCCCACAAGCATGTTGGTCTGACAGATTATGCTGTGTGGAACGTGACCCTCAAAGAAGCCTCATTTGGGCCTATCAGGGCAGAGAAGCTACTCCTTTAGGCTTCTCAGATACAAGCAGGAGTAGCTAGGGTGGCAGTACCACACTTTTGTTCTCTCAACAGTGAGACAGTGTGAAGTGAGACAGGGGTGTGGTTAAGGCTGTGGAGGCACACTGCTGTTGTGAGGCCTCTGAATTGTTCCTGGGTGGCAATGAACAGGCAGTCAGTTTGCCCCAAATTTGTACATGATGACATATGGCAGTTCAGCCCAAGAAGCAAACTCTGGTAACATATCTACGATACAGGAGACAGGCGGCATTTTCATTTCTGTCTCTTAAACTATTATCTTCATTTTCCTTATTTCCGTAAACGGCAATGAATTTTAAAAAATCACACTGAGCAGCAGGCACATTCAAATTAAAATGAATGGGTTGCGTTCAATGTCATAAGGCTAACACTCTGTCAGTGCAATGATTTTTCCTTGCACAATGAAACATTCTCCCCTTCTCCTCCCCTTATGAAACTCCTAATCTGTTCTGGAGTTTCCCCCGTCCATCCAGAGCAGATTTGGGGACAGCATGGGGGTGATCCCATTGCGCCAGCACTAATCCTTGCATTAGTGCAAAAGGTTAGTCAAATACCACCCGGCGTCTGCTGTTTTCTCTCTTACACTGACAATATTCACAAGGGGAACATTCTGGACTGAAATAGCATTCAGTGTGCCAGTTTGTAAAAATGCCCAGGATCCTGCTGAGTAGAAAAAGGAACTGATGGGATTTCTGATTTCTGAATACTGCTTAATATCAAAGCCTGTGGAGGTGAAAAGGATTGCTTGCTGTGAGGAATCACAGAGGAGGCTTTTGGCACTGCCACTTGCCACATGTGGCCTTCAGTCTAATATCACGTGGCCCTCAGGACAGTGACTAGGGGAAAGAGAAACCTATGCAACCCTCCAAATTCCACCCATGTTTGGCTCTGACGCCATCCACTTTTGGCTCTGCCCACCACAAAATACAGGGACCCCCCCCCCAACAGATTACCCGCAAGAGAACGCAGCCCTTGAGGGGGGGGGGGTTCCCCAATCCTGCTTTAGAACTTTCACTAGCCTTTTACTCCACTAGCTGTCAAATCTTTCAGGAACAGCTTGTAAGTTGAAAACACCCCTTGTGATGGTTCAGTCCAACCTGACAGGGTAGCTTCCAAGGGTAGTAGTGAACTTCATTTTGGAATGCAGTATCACCCATACATAGGTGATGGGATGCTGGAGCGAGCCAACTGCAGAATGTATCACTGAGTAAAAAGTCTTTCGTAGGATATTTTTAAATTATTAATTTATTGCTATCACGATCGGCGGTGTCATCCTAAATGAACATTTCCCCCCAAGACTGATAACAACTGTATTGTAGGGCGAAAGACCATACAAGGAGTAATAGGCATTTAACAGGAGGCATGGTCAGTGTTCCCTACAGAGCCATCCTAGTTGCAGGTTCTGTCCTCTATAAAGCTTCTGTTTTTGAAAAGACGCAGCAGCAGCTTCACCTCCAAGTGGGAGATTCCTTCTAGGAACCATGGAGCTGAGTGTGTGAATAAGGCATTGCTCCAGAGCAGGGATACCAAGAGGGAGTTTTGTAGGAGGCCTTGAACAGGAAACACTGAAACAAGAGATATGTGCAGACTCAATGTCTGGAGTGGATACTAGGCACCCAGAACAGAAAGCATCTAATTTAGTTCAGCGCTCATTCACTCCTAATACCTATGAAGCAGTCAGCTTTTCCTTCTCCTTGCCACCATGCACCCCTTAAGCTTGTTCTGCGCTTCAGTGCCATGGAGGATGATGTTCTGTTGCCAGCATTGAAATAAGATTGAACCACAAGTCATTTGTAGAAGACAGAAGTGAGAGAGACCTTGCCCTTCACTCCAGGCCACAAAATGTTTTGGGCCAGCCCTAGCCCAAGCTCTGATATGGCTCCTGAACCAAATGCATTCTGGATGATCATCTTTAATTCTTCCAGTGACATCTTACCTCAAACTCACTTTGTTCTTCATCTGGACTCACCATGTCATCCTCATTCTGGGACTGTAGAAACATAAGAAACTTGCAAGATTACTTTCTAGGCATCTCTTCAAGCAATGTGTCTTTTTTTGCTTGTTTGTTTGTTTGTTTTGTCCTGCTGGTGACATTAATGGTAGCACAAGCTTTTGCCATAGAAATAGACCAGAGAAACACAGTGATTGGTTGCAGTGCAGTAAGCAAGAGCTACTCCTTTGCAAACACACAAAAAACCCCAACAACTCCAGGCTTATAAAAATGCTTCTTTATATACTCTGCGATGTTAAAATGCAAAGCACAGATAGTTGCTTAGCTGACTCAAGTCTGCTGGGAGATGTTTAGAGGCAGTGCACTATATTTGAAACACTATATGCTTAAAGGGCTCTTTTTTCTTAGTATCTCTCTCATCTCCATCTCAAATTGGTTATGTTCTGTTTCACTCCTGCCTGCAGTGGGAATGTCAATAGCTTTTTGCGGTGGATATTTCCTCTCCTAGTAAATACAGCTCTAGAATCTCCTTCTGGCTTTGTTTCTAGTGTTCATTCATAAAAGACTTGCTGCATGGCTGTTCGGGGGAAGGGAAGTGATTTTTGTTTTGCTTGCTTAGCCTTGATAACAGAATCTAGACAAGTAAGAATTTTATTGTACAGCCTTCATAAAATATTTTAAAATATGCATGACAGGACACAATGCAAGCTGAGTGTGAAATATCAAATGCTTCCCAAGCCCTTGGGACTTTGCCATACAAAATGTGAGCCAGGTATCTTGCAGGCTTGGGCCTGCACTGAATGTGCTGCTTGGGTTAGATCTCTGCAAGTAAGAGCACCAAATCTTTCTGGGTGGTTAAGTGTTGCGTTTGTTTTCTTGTCTTCTCAGATTTGGGGGTTGAAGTGGAAGGGGATAGAAGAGAGCTGGGGAGCTGTTTGCTGAAGCAAGGAAATGTGATCAGGAAGCCTTGTGTGGGCAATAAATTACAGCCATTCAGCTGGGCTGCAGCCACTGCAGATGGAGAACACCAGTTACCCACTTACAGGAGGTTCTCTGCCATTAATAGAGTGGAGAGGAATTAATATCTCAGTTACATAGTTAAGGCTAAATGGATCCTATTAGAGAAATATTACAAGGCTGCAGGATTCCAGAGCCAGGAAACATGATCAGGTGCAACATATGGTATTTCATCATCTTGACTGCCAGGTTTGCCAATGGGAAGACTTGCACACTCTCTCTTAGCTAGTTTTTGTTTTGTCTCTTTCTGTTTTAACAGCATTGCAGATTTGCGATTCTATGGTGGAAAACCATAGAAAACCATAGTTTTCTTCTTGAAAACTTACAAATAATTTATTCCACCTTCTTACAACCAGCCCACTTGACTGCTCTTACTTCGTATAGACAGTATTTCGCAATATTCAATCAAAATCTACTTTATTGTAGTTTTAAAAACCACAGGCCAGGTTGACTGAGTGTGCCTCTGGTTTAGTTGTACCTCTGCCAAGTTGTTCTTAAACAATTCACAATCCCTGAGCCGTCTTCCTGCAAAAGATTATAATACTGACCCACCTTAAAGGGCTGGTGTAAGGGACAACATGTAAAGGAAGCAATTTGAAAGAATATTCTGACGAACAACATAAATGCTAAATATTGTAATTAAGCTAGCTTGTGGTCACCTCTTCTGCTCTTCCTTCTGCTCTTCACAAGTGTTGATATTGCACCATCGAATCACCTCTGGACTGAAGCACTTTCTTAATGAATTTTAATAAGCTGAAGTAAAATGTGTAGCATGTGGCAAACCTTCTAAGTCACTACCTGCTGCTGCACAGTGTTTCCTTGGGAAATCAATAAAGAAGGGCCATCAATCCTGGGAACCAGCATTAACAATGTATGAAAGTGATTCTGGGAATGTCCCAGATGGAAACGGTTGCCAGCAATCCAAGCAAATGGATGGCAGTGCACCAGCCTTCAGCTGCATCTAGCAAACACACCCTGCCTGTCAATCACATCTCTCCAGGAGGCTGAAATAATTCGTTACATGACTATGATTGGAATTCCCATCAGGGACAAAGGATTCCAAGCCACAGTAGAATTCACCCAGAATGGTTGCAGTTCCCTTTGAAAATCTTAGCAATTGCATCAAAATAGGCAGTCCCAAAGCAAACAACTCAGTTATTAAATACATACCTGTTACATTCAGCTTGCAGTTTACAGAGGCTTCCCCCAAAGGGTTCACGGCCTTGCAGGTATAAACACCACCATCGAAGGGGCTGGGCTTGCGGATTTCTAGAGAGCAAATACCTTGGTTCATGAGGGCTAAATACCTGGGGTCTTCTCCAATTTCCATCTGGTTTTTCATCCAGATCACTTTGGGCTGAAATACAGATAAGGCACCAAAATGGCAGAAATAAACACCTCTCTCCAAAAAAGTGGGAAGGGGCTGATCACTGGTCCCAGGTGAGCAGCAGCTTCCCATTACTTAGTGATAAGTTTCTAGAGTCTCTAGACAGTGTCTCATTACTTTTTCACCCTCAACCCTCCTGCCTACTCATTGGGACTGCTTTATGATGGATGTCACTGACAATCTCCCAGTGCTGTCATAGACTGCAGCACCCATCGCATGTTTGCTGAAACAGGAAGGCACTACAAAGCCACTTCCCCATAAGACTGGACATTTATCTGGAAATTGATGGGGAAATGCAGTGGAAAGTGTGGCATAACACTTGCTTCAATGCAATGCCATCCAATCTCCCCCGCCCTCCATATCAGAATGACTGTTCATTAAGCAGCCCAAGTCATCTAATCTCCCTGCAAACAATTCAGGGTGAATGCTCAATAAACAGGTCTCCTGGAAGCCCCATAAACTCTAGAGATGCTTGAAGAATTTGATGCAAATTGGCCCGATCTGCATCTCCTGGACTAAAGTACAGATCAGAATGTAGCTCTTATCTGGTAGACTTCATGGTTCTCTGAATGTTGCGATGTGGACCTCAGCTCAAAAAAGGTATGCATCTAAATGCGTGTTGTAAAATAAATTACAGTTAGAAATTCATATTTTGAAAGAAAAACATTCAAATGCAGCTTAAAAAAAAAAAGTTTGCAGATTACTGTGGAAGCAGGACAGAACAGGCTGAGGAGTAAACACATGCAGCAGGGACACTTAACCTGAAATAAATGGATCCACCTGTCTGTAACTTATCCCCAGTAACAAAAGAAGTCAACCCATGTTCCTCTACCAAAGGAAACACCTCAAGCCTCTCATCCTATACACAATGTCAGATTCAGTCTTGCTAAAGACGGTCACTGATCACTTAGCTTCCAAGAATGACCAGCACTCACCTTTGGGAAGCCCCGGACACAACAGACAAGCTGGGTACTGTAGCCCCGGGTGGTAGTTCTGTCGGTGAGAGGTTGGGTGAATTTTGGAGGTTCAGAAAGATCCTTGCTATTGTACTTCTCCGCTTTGTATGTGATTGCTGGGGGAGTGGGGGAGAAGGCAGATCAATATAACTCTACATAAGAGGGGGAGCAGATTGTGAGACTTTCTGAAACAATACAAAATGACAGCTCTGTATATTGAAATTGGAAAAGGTAAAGGACCCCTGGATGGTTAAGTCAAAGATGACTGTGGGGTGTGGCGCTCATCTCCGCAGGCAGCTTTCCAGGCCATGTGGCCAGCATGACTAAACCGCTTCTGGCGCAATGGAACACCGTGATAGAAGCCACAGCGCACGGGAAACGCCTTTTACCTTCCTGCCGCAGCGGTACCTATTTATCTACTTGCACTGGTGTGCTTTCAAACTGTTAGGTTGGCAGAAGCTGGGACAGAGCAAGGGGAGCTCACCACCATCAAGCAGATTCGAACCGCCAACCTTCTGATCTTTAGCTCCCTGAGAAAACTGTCAGCAGCCTCCAGCTATGTATTCATTTGTAACTGATATCTTTATGAAAGGCAGAAAGAAAACGTTCCTTTTTTCACCCCAACTACACCATTAAAACTCACTCCGTCATCCCTCCCAGTATCTGCCATGGCTTATCTGGCTTTACATCAGAGTGAGGGACGTCCAGCCTCTGGGTTAAAAACTGCCCCCTCCAGGCTTCCCAATCCTGCGTTCAGGTCTTTCCTCAGGTTGTGATCTCTCTTCCAACCCATGTGTCCCTCTCTCCAGACCATCCCCTTCACTAGCCCTGCTTTACACCCTCCCCTCCAGCTCTTTTGTGTGGCTGGAACGTGGCCTACTGAACAAGAGTCACATGTCTGGTTCTGCCTACTTTTCTTGCTGTCCCCACCCACTTTTCCTCTGATACTCCCCTCCCCTGCCACCTCAGCATACAGCTGCTGGAACGCTGCCCATCAAAGAAGATGCTTTAGACAATCTGGCTGGAATGGTTTGAGCTGTCATGGCTGCCTTCTGTTCTCGATGTTCCATGCACGTAACCCACCAGCCCTACAAGGGAAGGGGTGGGTTTCCACAACCTTGTCTTTCCTATTGTGCTTCTACAGCCCCTACCTGATTTTTTGATGTGAGCCACGTCCTTGCAGACAGCAGGCTTCTCGCTGAGGCCGCAGGGGTTCTCCGAGAAGACTCGGAAGGAGTAGCTGTTGCCAATTATGAGATCGGAGACGGTGCAGTTGGTGCGGTTGTAGTGCTCCATAACTGTGAACCATTGCTGGAAAGCAGTAAAGGTCAGCCTCTTAAACACGAAAAAGGTTCAGGTTCAGGGCACAGGGCTGCCCTCTCAGCAGAAGGACCAAGAGCTTCCCAAGCCAAAAAAATACTATGGAAGCCACCCTGGGGTGCTATTTTGTTTTGGTGTTAGGGCAAATGAAAGTGGGTGACGGTGGCACCATTAGGGCCTCCTATTCATACCGAATAGCAATGCCCAAGGCAGGGGTTGCTGGAACTGTAGCACAGGAGGAAACATTTAACTCAATCTTTAGTGTGTTGTTTTGTTTTTTAAGAACTGTACAATTCTTGATAGCTACATCTTTCAGTGTAACAGGTTCTCTGGTCCCATGGTTTTCACTCTACCACTTCTCCAGCAGTATTGCAAGAGGTGGGAAACAGCCCACCAATACAATTTGGCAAATTGAGAAGGAAGAGAGTCCCCACTTGACAAACATTCCATTGCTGTCATGGGGTGGGGAATAATAGCAAGAATTCTTCTTTCCACAGGAAACTGCCCCCACCAGTAAAGCAGAGAAAACTCACCCTCTATCCAGCCACGTAGCACATTCTCCCACCAAGCCCTTTCTTAATTGCCACCATATATAAATATAGCATACCAAGCTAACTTGCTGCATTGAACAAGCCAAGACTCTCTTATATGTTTGCATAAAAGGGTGCTTTTGCACCTTATAGAAAAGACCTTTGATACTATTTGATAAGAAGAAGAACTGCACATTTATTAATATTATAATATGTTGCCCTCTCTCACTCCAAGATCCCAGAGAAGGCTACAATATCAAAAGGCAATATTAAAAACAGTTCAAAACAGATGGCATTCACAGAAAAAAGGTGGGTCCCAAAAATATTTGGCAGCAATGTTGTTTTATGATGATCTGCAAGTTTTTAATTTTTTATTGATTTTAATGACCCTTATGTATATTTTGAACCAAAATTTTAAATGAAAGTTTGTGTATTTGTTTGTTTTAAAACCTCATACAGTATCAATGCTTCCACAGAGCAACTGAAGCAAGGCATAGGTCACAGCACCAGGTATATAAAAATAGCTGAGTGAATCAATTCTTCCAGGGGGCTTGTGATTGGACCCCAGGAATAAAGCTCTATTACAAAGGCAAACTGTGTTGACCTACTGCCATTTCTGAAATAAACGCTGCCGATGGAGGATTAGAGAGGAAAAGGTTCTCAAGGGAAAGATTTGTTGGACTAAATATGGATACATTTAGAGGGTTATTTACATTTGCTAGTTAAAAAGAAAAAAGAAAACAGTTCATACATGAGCTTTTTTTTTAACCTTGATTTACATTTTTTCAAGATGTTATTGATTCCATTTATTGTACTATAAAAAAATAAAAGAATAAAAAGCATAAAGGTTCTAAGTAATGTTCTTTTCCCATTCTCATTTTCACTGTTTAAACCACCTGTGACCAAATTCTGTATTGTCACGGAATTTGTGGGCTGTGTTTTTGTGGAATATGCATTGCATTTCTTATACTGACTCCTTTTTGTTGGGATTTGTAAACAGCTGTGAAGTGATGGCGGCTTCAGGACCCACCACTAATCCTTGCACAAAGTACAATGCCCCCCAGGCTGTATCTTTCCCAGCCCCAAGTCCTTACCCCAGTCTTCTTGTCTGCTTTTTGGACTGTGTACCCTTTGAGATCAGCATTGCCATTATCTTTGGGTGGGCTCCACTCCAACGCCACATTAAAGCCCCATACATCCACCAGCTTCAGGTTCTCAGGAGGGCCTGGTCTCTCTGAAAAGATGAGCCATACATTACTTCTGAAATATCAATACAGTGCTACCTGCCATGGCACATCACAGAGAAGTTCAGCAGCAGGCACCAGATAAAACAGAGAGCAGCCATTAAGCTATCTGGAAGAAGAGGGAAATCTATAACCATACTAGAATATATTATTATTATTATTATTATTCATTCATAACTCTCATGCAGGTGTAGTTTCAGTATCAGAAACAATGGCTCATAATTCTATCTTACCTTGTTATATAAGGGATTCGAGACTGAAACAGAACAGTCATCTCACTACACATTCCCCATGGCCTAAGCACACCACATGCTCCGATGCTTAATAATGCCAGGCCCAGCAAGGTGCCATATGCCACAGTACACAGTGACTCTTGAATTAGAGAATTTTGTTTCAAGGGAAGAGGTATCTGAGCTAGCCACCCTTTAGATACCAAATCAAACCATATGGTTTCATCGCCCTTACCAATCACCTGGAGATTAATGGTGGCCTTGTCTTCTAGTTCATCTAAGATCTTAACACTTATTTCGTATTTTCCAGAATCACTGCGCTGTAGTTGGCGGATGAATAGGACGGAGTCCCTCTCACTGTTGCGCAAATGCATTCGCTTGGGATCCAGAGGCTGGCCATCTTTGGTCCAGGTCACCTGTGGCTTTGGCTTTCCCTAAGGGAAGGCATATGTAGAACAGTTGGTATATCACGGTTTTCTTCTATTTGTCTGGCTACTAACTCTTATAAACATACAGTGAATCTTCGGCATGATTTTCATGATTTTGATGGTTCCTGGTGTTGCTCTTATAACCACAGTTGTCTGTTTTTTGTTTTGTTTTATTAATTTGATTTCACTGATTAGAGTTTGCTTTATATTAGTATTGTGGTTCTATTATGTGAACTGTGTTGATTGTTCTTCATGGAAGTGAAAAGTGGGAATAAAGTTTCAAAGAAAGAAAGTGCTCATTTGCTTCCACTTTCTAGCCACATATGATTAAACTGTGATGCAAAAAGCCAACACCATTTTTGGACTCTTATTCAAAGGCAGGACAGTTGCCGACACACATTTATGTATGTGAGTGCCCATGCACAGGAGAGGCAAACATTTTCATATTGATGTTTCTACCCCAAACCTGAGCTCTGAAGTCCCCTCCGCAACAAAAAACTTAGGGGCAGTTGAAGCTAGTATGAATGTGTGTCAAATGCAGTTGCTTCTGACAGCTGGCCCTTTAAGGGAGTGGCCTAGATCCACAGCAAGTCTACAGATACCCAAGAACCAAGGAAATGCATGGAGTGCTATACCCTATTATAAGTCTCTCTATGCCACTCCATATGGCTTGCACTTGCTATTTTTAGTCAAGAGCTATTTTAGGCTCTGGGCTACAAACCCACCCCCCCAGTGCCTGACTGGAACATACTGCCTCTGCCTTCCAAACGCACATAACAAACTTGATCACAATGTCAAAGTATTCTCTTGATAAGAGCTCTTTAAATCAGAGTAACATAAAAAGAGATCCAGTGTCAGAATTTAGTGCTAGGAAAAGATCAAGTATGACATAAGACACTTTTTCCGTCTGTGTTTAGAGATTAGGAGGCTGCCAAGAGCTGGTGAGTTTTATATGACTTGCAATATACAGATGTAATGCATATGTCAGCCAAACAAAGCTTAAGCTTGTTTACACATTACAGTTTAGGATTCAGTGGTTTGTGTAGAGTACCTTGTTTCTAGTCTTGCCTTGTCCTGAGACAGCTCTCTTCTCAAGATCCAATGTTTCCTTTTTCCCAAGCCTGTCAGTCCTTTATTTTTCTCAGTGACCAGGCCACATTCAAGTGAAGCTGGAATTCTTTCCAAAACATCAATAGTTTCTGCTTTGGAGGCTGCCCACTGTAGACAACCTGAGAACTAGTTCACCTTTGCAAGCTTTCTGCAACTATTCCTAGCTTCTTGACCAATTATGCAAAGGCTTTTATCCCCGCTCAAAGCCAAAATGTCAAAATAAGAATAAGGATCCACATACCCGAAAAGGAATCATCAGGTTCAACACATCGCCCACAGTCTTCATGTACAAGTCCCTCAAATAGCGTGGCAGTCGGATCTTGGGCTGCTCTAGAGAAAACAAAATTATAGTGGTTTGTCACTGGTACTGCAGAACTTTGCTGTGGAATCACTGATGAATCTCCTTTGCTTGGATCATTTGGCTTGCCTGGAATGCTTAGAAGCACTAATGATTAGGCAGTATATAAATGTCTTAAATAAATAAGAATGTTGGGGGGGGGCAGCACTGAGATACTCATATGACCAGAGAGATTCCACAGCAGTTTGGAGGCAGAATAACCCAAATATCTCATATTTCATTGTTGTTAAACCTTGTAGGATCAAGGGTACTTTCTGTTAGAATTCCTGCTCCAGGATTGCAGTCATGGGATTTTTGTCTTTCACATGACGGTGTGTGTTTTGACTCCACAGAGAGGGAAGTGACGGAGACAGGATGTTTGTGTTACTGTGTTCCGTGAAGTGGGACTATTGTCCTTTGTTCTTTTTTCTCTTTGCTGTCTCTAGAGAGGGAGCCATGTTGCAGTGCTCCGTGTGTATTTATATGTAAATAAAGTAGATTAGCCAAAATGCTGAGTCGCTGAGGTATGTTACGCAAGCTGCAAAGACTCTGCAGATCCCTAAATGTGCCGGTGTCTGTTGGCATCGGTCGCTGTGATGTTCGGGCTGAAGAAAGCTCCCGAAGCTCCCAAACGATCGACCAGGAGGGAGAGAACATTCCAGTCGGGCATGTGTCTCTGCCAGGGTCCTACTCGAGTGTAGGACGAGCTCTTGACACTTTCCCCTCAGCACAACAATGCAACTTCCTTGGACCATAAATACAACTCAGGCCAAGGAGAAGATGCCACCAGCTCTTGAAGCGACCAGCAGTGGCGTGAGAGAACTGTTGGCTCAGTCCTTCCCACATTCCCTGACTCTTCTTAAGAAATACCTGTGAGCTCCTGAAGTGATTATCCATGGCCTGAGAAAACGTTGAGTCAGCAGTGCCTACACCTGCTCTAGTCTTCTTAAGAAAAACTTGTGTTTCCCTCAGGAGAAATCCAGGCTAGGAAGTTTGTGTCATCAGCTCCGAAATTCCGATTGAGAAAGCTCTGTTCTGTATTCTGTAATGCAGAGCTTTCCAAACTGTGTGTCGTGACACATTAGTGTGTCGGCTGCAGTGCGTAGGTGTGTCGCGCAAACACTCCCCGTGCTCCTCCCAGGGCTGGAATGGGGTTAGTTCAAGCTCCGGTTTGCTAGTAAAACTGAATTACTGTGTCACGAAATGAGGCATGTCTTTAAAAGTGTGTCACTACCATGAAAAGTTTGGCAAGCTCTGTGTAACATTTGTTTTCATATTTAAAATGGTAAACTACAATGAGTGCCTTGGCAGAACGGTGTCATATAAACACAGTAAATCAGTAAGCCCAGGGAGGTAAGGCAAACGATTAGCTCTTCCATCACAGTCCAGAGAATCAAAATGGAAATGAATTCTGGCCAAGGCTGCATTGGCAGAACCCTGCGGTTTGTTTGTTATTAAATGACACATTTGTAACCTGACCCAACCATGGAGCCCCAGATCAGGTAACTGTGCTTTATAAATTATCAGAGGTGAGAGTTTCTATTAACTCTGGCAATTCTTTGAGCTGAGTTGGTTAGCTCCATGAATGGAGAGCTGGGATCAGGACTCATAAATAGTACGAGGCATGCATTTCATAAGTTAATTTAATCCACTCAGCAAGAAGAATCAATATCAAGTGCCTCGTAGCAACAGCATACCTTCTTGCTGTAACCTCACCAAACTGTTTTTTTAAAAAAAATGTATTTTATTAAATACTTTCTTGGTTTACAAAAGTACATGCATTCTCTCTTTTTTCAGGTTGTACAGTCTTTCTTACAAATCAGTTACATTTGTTGTGAGACATTAGTGTTGAGTACCATATAAGGTAGGGGGAGAGAAGGGGTGGGGTGGTGAGGCTTATATTCTTTTATATGGTGTATGTGTGGGGTTTTGTGTCAGCGTCAACTGGGTAAGTTCTCTTTCTATTCATTTATTACATTTCCTTGGTAGTGAGAGGTATTGGGGGGCAGGATGTGGTTGGTTGTCTGTGGTTGACTGCAGTGGGGTTTGTTTGCATTTGTGAGCGGGGGAGGTCTTGTTAGGTCAGGTAAGCCAGATTGATTCATATGTTGTCGGGGGTTCTTGTTGGGCTGTGAAGAGGAGCCATACCAGGGTGAAGGCGTCCTCTTCTATTTGTCTCCGTGTCAGTTTCAGTTTACTGGTTAGCTTTTCTAGTAAGGCCGTTTCCCATACAATTTGATACCATTGGTCCGTGTTTACTCCTGACAGGTCTCTCCAGTGTCTGGCTATGAGGCTTCTGGCTGCTGAGAGTATTTGGGTTATAAGCCCTGTATAATGTGAGTGGTCATTATGATCTTGGAAGATGCTCGGTAGGGTCAGATATGGGGTGAGTTCTAATACCTGTTAAGTTATTTTGCATATCTCTTGTAGGACTGCTGTCCAGAAGGGTTGGATTTTAGAGCATTCCCACCACATGTGGAGATATGTCCCTGTGGAGGTGCAGCCTCTCCAGCATCTTGGTGTGGTTCCTGGGCGTATCGGCACCAGTTTCCGTGGTGTTAAGTACCACCCATAGGTGAGCTTCAGCGTGAGTTCCCTTCCTTTGGCTGATACGGACTTAAAGGGAGGTTTAGATCACATTCTAGTCCATTGGGTGGGGTTAATTTCATAGCCTATGTCGTGCTCCCATTCTTCTTTCATTGAGTCAAGGCGGGTTGTGGGATTTTGGAGTATTTTGTATATTGTGAATATCATCCCTTTGCCGTGTCCCTCTGCTGCCAGGAAGTGGTTTTCGAAGGTGGTCAAGGACTAGTGGCTGCTGATTTTACTGCTGGATTGTTTAAAAGGGCAAGTAGTTGATGGTGTGTTAGCCAAGGTATTTGCATGTCCCTTAGTTTGTCTTGTATATCTTGTGTTGACCTCACCGAACTGTTGACAGATATCCTTCCTCCTTCTGGTATTAAAGGTAAATACACTGCCACGTTTGGTACAATTCTGCTGGCTATAATGGCTCAGTGGTGCAATGGAAAATGGATGCATTGACACAACTCAATCCTGGAAAATGAAGGCTGTTGCCATTCCAGAATTAAGATGGTGCCTGATGAATGCCAAAGATGTGCAAAGTAAGCAAGGGAAGTCTGCTGGGTTAATTTCCAAATTCTACAATGAATATTATTTGGCAAATTTTAGGTCCAGCTGCAGCATAAATTATTTGTTTGTTTGTTGGTATGCCGCCCATCTGACTGGGTTGCCCCAGCCACTCTGGGCAGCTCCCAACAGAATATTAAAAAAACGATAAAACATCAAACATAAAAAACCTTGCCTAAACAGGGCTGCCTTCAGGTGTCTTACAAAAGTTAAATAGTTTTTTTTCCCTGCACGTTTTTGCAGGCACTGTAACTTCAAATTCCAATTTTCACCCACCTCCAGAAGTGATCAGTCACAGAATCATAACACTGTAGAGTTGGAAGGGATCCCGAGGGTCATTCTAGCCCAACCCCCTGCAATGCAGGAATCTCAAATTGGTGGGGTTAGTGTCCTTTTTGGGGGTCCTAATAAAGGTAGATTTGTAATTCATCCCAAGATAGTAGTTTCCAATATACAGCTACAAAATTGGTTTTGTACCAAATCAATGTCAGATTTTCTTTCAGCTCTAAAACTATGTTCCTACAATGTCTGGATTTTACTTCAAGTCCCTCTGTTGTATACTAAGCCAAAAAGATGTGTGTGTATGTGCTATGCAGTGAACAGCACATACTTGAAGCAGAGCTTTATACTTCCCTTGGGAAAACAACCTGGTGAGAGTCAAAAGAAGCCTGTATGCATTTAATCACTTGCCACTGTCTTCACTAGCATCAAAATAGCAATGGTGTAACTCTAGCATGCTATATTTGACAATGGTAGCCTGGGTGGTAAAATAATTATGTTGGGGTTTAATAAAAGAGCTATGCATGCCTGTGAGGCTTAAACGTGCAGTAGCCTACGTTCCAGAAGTGATCGTGTAAAGGAGGACCCAGGATTAAAAAGCTGAAAGATACTTTAGCAACGCTGTTCATAGAACACCAGCAATGCAGTAGGATATACCAGAGGAGAGCCCTGCCAAGAACTGTAACAGCATCTTCACTCACCCATCTCTTTCCCCCTGGAATCCCTTGCTGGCATTTATTCTTATCAACAGGGCCAGTGCAGCCATTAGGCAGGATGAGGCCACTCTCTCAGGCAGCGGAAGCCCCCAAGGTGGCACTCCCACAGGCCCTGACGCCCCTGCTTATCAGTCAAGTGAAATCCAGCACTCCAAGGAACTAAGTTAATTTCTATATCCCTACATATGGAGGAAAGCATAGCTTGTCTGTTATCTTGCTAATTGCTTAAAATTGCGTAAAGGTGGTTTTATTTATTCAACTGTTAGAATCAAACCGCAACAGGGGCAAACAGCAGGCTGACATTTTCAAACACAGAAACCTATGTAGAGGACGCTGATGCTAATCTTTCAAAATAAAAGTGACAGCATTAAGCACACTTTTTTAAAAAAGAGCCAGTCCTTTCAACACACAATAAAGTAGGCCAGTAATATTATATCAATATTGTGCAATGAGAGAGATTGTGAGTTTCCTGAGCTGAGAACTGGTGCTGCTACGCTGTACCAATTGGCTAGAAAACTAATTGAAGATTAAGTGTGTAAATAGACCATCAGTCTCAAAATGCCATAGCATATTTTTTTTTTTGTCTACCTGCGGCTACACAGGCACTCAACTGGAATTTGCTCCCAGCAATGTACATAAAGTAGACTCGCTAACTAAACAGCTGGAATTGCAAGAACAATTTAAATATAACATGCTAGTCAACATTTTATATTTGCATAATCTGAGACACTCAGACTATAGAACCTACCCCAGCACAAAGAAAACATTCATGCCAATACAGTACTGCTGATATATGAATATACAACCCGCATCTGACGCATTCAGTCAGGTTAAAAAGCACTGTGTACAAATTTCATAAGACAGTGGCAGATGCTTTTATGTCCCTACTCCTTCCACACCTTATGCTAGTGGTGCACAAGTAGTGAAAGGTAGCTCTGTAAGTCCAGTGACAATCTGTGCTGGCAGGCAGCACAAATACATGCTGCATTAGAGAACTCACTTACCAACTAGCTGGCAGAGAAATATGTTCATCACCGGCATTCATCATTTTCCATTAAAACATCTGTCTAAAAATAATTCCTCTTCGCAGTAGAAATAGAATTTAGGTTAGTTTGAAGTGTGACCCTTCTGTCCAAGCTATACAAGGTCTTAATATTTCACACTCCACACTATGGGGCCAGCAATACCTAGAGGAGGCTGAAGAAGCTTTCAAACTCCTAAGCAGCACTGAAGGTCTTGCTGCAATCTGAAGTGAAGGAGCCAGGGGTAAAGTGACCAGATGCAAAGAAGGACATGATCCCTGAATCTTTAATAGTTGGGGGGTGCACTCTACCGGCATTTTATGCAGTAGTTTAAAAAGCGGTACTTGGTAGATTCTCCTCAGCTGGTTTCTAGCTGCAGGAAAATGTATACATGGGTTCCAAATTACAGCACTCAGATCCATGCCCACTGCTGCTAAGTGAGATGCAATTAACAGTGCAACGTATGTTTCATTACATTGTGGTGCCACATTAATGTTATCAGCAGCTGACACCATGGAAGTCAGAGCTGTGTCATACCCAGGACTTGCAGATCAGACTGTTCTTGCAATCTGTAGATATATCTGCACATGATTTATTTTGAGAACTAAATGTGGTTGGGAGGTATACTTCTTCATCACTGACTTCAGCTTCTTCTGGTCTCCTGTTACCCAGAGTTCTGTTGATGACTGAAGGATGAGGGCAAGGTAATGTCATAGCCACAAGGGTTAAAAGGAACCTGCCTTGCCATGGATGTTATCTAGTGCTTCCAGTTGAGTGCTAAAATGCTGAAGAAAGAACATGGGAAGCTACCATGCCCTCAACAGAACTACTGAAGTAAGCCAATTGAAAATAAGGAAATTTAGTTCTGAATAAACATGTATAGGATTGCGCTATTATTCCTGTATTCGGAAGAACAGTTTTATATTAACATTGGATGAAACATAATTGTACTTCCCAATGGTGCACCAAGAAGGCCTATCAGATGCATGTTTAAGGTCCATGTGCAATGCCTGCCGCTCACTGCAATGCACACTGTCATAGGAGATATCCACTTGCCCTACATATTCATGGGACTGTCCAAAAATAGGTGCATCAATGGCACCTTTTTAATTTATTAAAGCGGATTTCACATAACATCAACTGCATCTTGTTCTCACCTTTAAGTAGGTAAAGTATGCTCCATTTTTACACAAGCAGGTCTGATTGCTCTATTCTGGGATGTCTGCTTCATTTTCATTTCAAGAAATTGCAAAAATGAGTCAAAGCTGTTCATAATTTTTAAAGCAACGAAGAAAGGACAACAGAAGGAAAAGTAAAGCAACCTTTGCCAGGGCAAAATGGAAATAGCCAAAACCAGAAAGTCATCTGAAATTAATTCTCCATTGCATACCACAGTGCAACCAGCTACAACAAATCATGACACCAAATGCTAGCAGGCTTTAGTTGTGGTGAAGAAAAAACTCCAAAGGTATACTAATGTGAGCCAAAGTCTCTCTTATGGAGATTACAGGAGTTAATGAAAGCCATTAAGCAAATTTGATCTGCTTGTGTATAAGGGAAGGAGTGTTGTTTAACCTTTGCATACCACATCACTTTGCTGATAGAAATCATGGTCCCACAAAGCTCCTGGGGGTGGGGGAATAACTCCCAACAAGGTAAACAGCAGCTAGAGGGAGTATTTTGACCAGGAAGATGATATGAAGGACGTCTTTGAATAATCCATGTTAATGAACATGTTCTGTTACGCTAAATGCATTCAAGATACATACCAAGAACCTCTCTGATGAGGAGTGGCTGGTCCAGGACGGCTGGCTCACTAACTCCATCACCTTTCACAGCCTTCACGCGAATGATAAGTTTATCTCCAGATGTTAGATCGCGAATTACATAACGGGTGGAAAGGAAGGGCTTTGTGTTGGCAGCCACCCAGTCTGTAGCTAAAACAAAAATATGCAACAGGTGAGTCATATGATTAGAAGCAAGGATGGCACGGTTGGGTTATGGCACTCGTTTGACCTTACAGCAGAGTCACTGCTACTTACCAGGAAGGAGGGGTCAACACAATGTAAACACACCGGTTGGAATGCCAGATTGGCTCTGCCAGTATATTTGCACCATGTCATCCTCCCCGCCCCCATTTCCAGGTAAGCAGCAGCAGGTAAGCTGCCAGGAGGTCTAATGTTTATTGCTGCCCCACTACGTCATCCGCAACAGAATTATTGTAAAAAGTCAATTCAGTGGACAATGAGGTCTCTACTCTGATACATTTAAAATGTATCTGTCTACAGAGTCCACTCAGTTCTTTCTTGAGAATGAGATGAAAGATCCAATGCTCAGAACACTTACTTCAGAAAACAGTAGCGCTTACTTCCAATTCAACACTCTTAAGACTGTGTTGTTCAAAAGCAAACCTATGCTTTGCTAACCTATGTCTACTGGTTTGTCTGTCTGTCTGTCTGTCTTTTTTTTAAAAAAAATTAAGGTTGCAATATATCAATTCTAGCCTCCCAACTCTAGAAAGACCATGTATAAGGTCATTCTTACATTCAAATTATCTAAGGGTGCCATACGTCCTGGACATAGCCGGGATTCGTCCGTCGAAAATGGTGTCTGGGCCGAAAAGTAGCTAAAATGTCTGGGAAAGAAAGGTCAACAACTTTGCCTCCACACCCCAAAAAAGCCTTTCACTTTTGAAATATGGCAACCCTAAATTATCCCCATTGGGATATAACATTTGGATACATTTGTGCTACAATTGTGCTCAAGCCATCTTTTGTGAACAGTTCTGCCATGTTTCAAGGACATCCTCTTCTAATCACAACAAAAGCATGCTTTTATTGGATTCAATTAACAAAAGAGGTTACAAAGGTTGAGGCAATCTAATCAGTGAGTGGAAATGCTACCCTATGGCGATAGCTCTCCAAATACACCATGCAGATATGGAGTGACAAATATGTGATAATGCACTCATGCAGGTCGAAAAACTGGCTTGAATAAAATATTCAGCAAACAATCTGGAATGCAGGAAGTAATTTGCGAGCAAGGAAAAGAGCTAAACTCAAAATAATTTATTTATGAGAAATGATTCACCCAGCTATCGCTCACAAGAAACCCCAGCTAGAAAACCCATGAAAAGGGACAACATAAATTGTTTGTAGCAATCAATAGGGATGTCATCAATTGCTGAAGACTTTAGTAGACATCACCCACTATTTATTACCATTATAGCATACTCAGTGTGTATGATAAACCTTGTTTAATACACAACATCTTCCACTCAGGCTGTGACATGATTAATCCATCACTGGTGGTTTACAAACCAAATTGCTCACAAATGTAATCTTGTTTCCTAATATTATTCAGTTTTTTAAAAGCAGACATCATAGACTGCAACCCTTTTTCGTAATATAAAGTGCTACTATACCGTACCTTTCTATGCTATAGAGAAGCCTTGCCCAGGAGGTGCATATTTGGCAGCTTCTATGGTATGGCATCTATACTTGCTACATAATGGATTCAATTTGCAAAAGTGGTTGAAAGAGGGGAGAAATAACTACTTTCTCCACTTTCATGTTTGGAAAGCCACTTCCACCATTGCCATATACAGTATAAGAGGCTGAAAGGCAAGGTTGTCATTTCTCAACTTTAAGTAGATTTCCTTCTTTCAGTAGTTCTACAGCAAGCAGACTTTCTACATGTGCAACATTTCCTCCTCTAGCATGCAAGTTCTGTTTCTCAGCAGTTGGACAGAACCAATGCAGTGCTTGAATAGAAGAAGCTACATCTGTGGAATCTCTTCTTGCCTGAGAACTCCTAAAAGAAATGGACCAACCTCAAGGTTCTAGAATTTGCAATCCCGTGACTTGCTGCTTCTAGTATTCCAAGCCTTTCTCAACTTGAGCTCACAGAGCATGTCCATTGCACGTCAACATGGCATGTGAGCAACTGATCGGGTGTGTGGAGAAGATGTCAGGCTAAGAAGAGAACACATATCATTTTCTTTACACACCTGTTCAGCGGTTTAAGGGTTCAACGAACATTTCATGAGAACTATATGGTTCTCTCCTCACCTCCAACTGTGGCTGTAGATATGTCAAGAGAGGGACAAGCAATTTATCCTGACCATGTTATCCTATTTTCCACATTAATGCATGCAGCTCTTCATGCTCACGAGAGATAAAGCTCAAGCCTACTTCCGTATTTGCAGTGCTCCACCACATATCCATCCAGGCCAGAATGGCCCACAACCTCTGGGGCATCCCACGTCAGAGTCACAGAATTGTCGTTCACATCGTCCACTGTTAGATTTAACGGTGAGCTGGGAGTGCCTGGTATCACAAATATAAAAGCGTTAGTAAGGCATTTTCCATCCCCACCAGTTCAGTACTTAATGCTGTGTAAATTCATTAATGCGCTTTTCTTGGACTAAGGGCTTTGTCAGAGAATGCATACCCCTTTATTTTAGCCTTTGCATGATAGCTATGCAAATTCCCATTTCTCACACACTCAGTGAATGCGAGAGCAGGGAGCGGGGTTGTGTCCCACTCCCCAACACTGGTGCATCCCTCTGGCAATATGCCCCAACACCCAGCATTAAGTTGAGCACATCTCCATACATGCAGTTGTATGGGCATAGGGATTTTCATGTGATCAGGAACCTCAATTGCACTGGATTTATGACTGCATGGAAGCTCCAACACATGTACAGTTGTATGTATGCAGGTCTCCCTTTCACTTGTTCAGCTGAACAAGAGAATGTAGTGGGAGGTTGTGACCAGAGGGGTACACCAACATACATATTGCTGATGCAGTATATTCCCTGGGGAACCAGGTCTCCTTCCCACGACCTTCAAATTTCTGGGGCTGGGGTAAGAGAACACTATCCTCCTTCTCCAGCTCCAGCTGCTTCTATGATGCTCTCAATAGTAGTCAGTGGAAACAAATAGCTGTAGGTGATTTCATGAAGGGTTGTTGCTGGTGGTTTTCTCATTCATTTCATTTCTGACACTGATAGAGGGCTACAAGACCTCTTTTGGTGCTTCCGGGCCATATACGGCTCATCCAGGTAATTGCAAATGAGACATCGGTGGCAATGGGGCTTTTAAGGCTGCAGTCCCAACCCTATTAGTTCCCATTTAATTCAATAGGACTTGCTTCTAGGTAGCCATGGTTAGGATTGCATTGCAATTTATCAGAGAAGTGAAATCCGTCTTAAATGGAGGAGGCAGAACACGGCCTGCAGTTAGGATACCAATGGCCTAGCGTAATTTATTATTGTTGTTGTTGTTATTAAAAAACGGAGCCAGCACTATACCACAGAAAAACACCCCTCTGGATAAATCACCGGAAACAAGCGTGGCGCAGGTCGTGGCGCTGCACTCGCCACCACTTCTTTTTAAATATGAGAGAAGCCCCACAGGTGCTTTTTGGCGCCTCATTTCAGCGCGCGGCCTTGGAAATGGCCTCCGGCGTCCCGCGCGCGCCACGGGTTTGCGCCCGGAGCAAAGAAGCGCACGCGCTGCCGCCGCCCTCCCGCCTCCGCTGCTCGAGACCCTTTTCGGCCACCTCGTCGGCCGCCGCCCTCACCTTCTTTGGGCTTCTTTTTAGCTGGAGCTGTCGGCGGGGCGCTTTGGGCCGCCGGGGGAGCCGGAGCCGGAGCCTCGGCGGCGGCGGCTGCTGCTGTTACGTCCGGTCCGGGAGCTGCTGGAGTCGGTTCTGCTGGAGCCGAGGCCGGCTCTTCGGAGGGAGCGGCCTCCGGTGGGGCCGTCGGGGCCGCCTCTTGCTCGGACATCTGCGGTAGGCTTCGAGGACTCCGCTCTGTGCCCCGGGGTGGCGGTCGGTGGAGCTGCCGTCGGTTAGAGGGTCAAAGTCCCGCCCGGCTCCCCCTTTTCTCTCCTTTCTTCTTCTCGGCGGCGATTTCCCCCCTGTGCTCTCCGCCGGGTCTGGGGGGTTTTATAGGTCCCTCCAGGCCGCCGCCCCCTCCTCTCTCTCTCCGCCGCTTGGACCCACCTGCTTGGGCGGGCGGGGGAGCCAGGAATAGCCGCCCAGCAGCTGCGAGGTGCAAATTCAGCATCTCCTCGGGAGTAGCTGCGCTCCGCGGGACTCGCGGGACTGGCCCGCAGAATGATCTTCCAGGTTTCGCAAGGCTCTCTAGAGTTTAGCTGCGTTCCGTTAGCAGGGACGGAACTGTGCCCTCAAGCCGGCACCCAATGCAAAGCATTGCCCCTGAGCATGTGCAGAGTGACAATCCTTCAGCCTTGCCATCTCCCTTCTCTGTACCTCCTTTTTAAAGTAAACCAAGCCCTGTAGAGAAGGGGTGCCAAACCTTCACAAGCTGCCAGTTCAGCATGAAACTGGAAATAAAGAAATCAATGCCGACCTCAAATCCTGTGTGGAGTAGGAATTGGGGTGTCCTTTCTCCAGCCTTGCATTCCAAGAGTGGCTGGGGAAACCCACCCAGATGGGTGGGGTATAAATAATAAATTATATTAATATTATTATCGTCCCTCTGATTCCTCCGTTTTCCAAATAGTCCTAAGACCCTCATCTGTCATTGCGGCTTGCAGGGTCCGGACTGCACTAACAAAACTGCTTGATTATGGATCAAGCTTCTATGGGAAACAGCTGATGAAGACAAAACTGTGCCAAAAGGCAAAGTTCTCTAGACAAACTATAAATTCCAGAGGAATAGTTGTGTTAGTCTGCTGTAAGAAAAATAGTAATCTTGTGATTTGCTGCAGCATAATATCTTGTGGAATAAAAGAATATTGAAAGTTAAGCTTAATAGTAAACAATAAATGCAACATGTAAATAGCAAATATAACATGTAATGACATTTCACTTTAATAAAATACCTATTAATCTTTTTTTGCTAATTTGAGGGGGTTTGGGAGAAACGTGAGTGTACAGAAGCTGGAAACAGGAGTGGTTTTAATATATGTTTCCTAAATTGTATGATACATCTGAAAGTTTGCGTAGGGAAGTAGATGATCTTAATTTATTTATTTTGGAAGTGCTACAGAATTAGAGGAGGCTAGTGGTATTCATAAATGAGCATTCAGTACTGAGCTGCTCGTGGTGGTAGCAGCATACTGGTATAGTCCCAGAATGGTCAGTTCTTTTAGGATGCTGCTTGCCTTGTCAGATCTGAGTGTGGGAAAATATTTAGCAAATAGCTCACTGTTGGGGCATGTCTGCACTACTGATATTGCACAATTGGCTTTGGTATGTTCCTGATTTCTAAACCTATTGCCAAGCATTGTTCCTGAAAAAACCCCGTTCCTGAATTGATTGTCAGAGTGAGGAAAAAGGAACCATTTTTGTTAACCTGAATGCTGATTGTCCAAAGAAGCCATCAGGCAACTGAGTTTATGAGCACTTAACTTCCTAGACTTATGTCTTAATTCTGTTCTAACACCCTAACAGGTGTTTGGTTTGATATACGTTCATCTCCAGTGACTGAGTTAAGAAGCAGCCAGCAACTTTCTGTAGCTTGAGAAAGCAGTTGATAGAGATTTTAAAGGTCAAAGGGTTCAAGGCTAGATTTTCTGGAAGAATAAATCTTCATGTTACTAAGTTTCTTCTTAAATGCATTTCAGATCTGCCTCCGTGCTTGGCAATTGTCTGTGATTAAATTTAACATGAATTTATTTGCTTAATGTATGCAGATAATAGTTTAGATGGTCAAGGTGGTAATTTTGGTATGTCCTGGGGAGGCAGATATTAAATATCTTCAGGCGTCGGCGCAAATAGCTCACCATGGATAAACATGAGAGCCCTGTGAGACATGTAGCACATCTCTTTGCCCTGATTAGAACAAAAATAAGGCAAAAGAATTGTGATAATGGTGTCAGAACATGGCAGCCAGGCATCATTGTATCATAGGTCAAACTATGAAACCCCAAATATGAAGATACTTCATTTCAGAAGATGTGAGAACTTGCTACTGTGCTTCACTTCAGAGAAAATATAGGAAGCACAGCTCAGCTTTCAAGAAATTTTGGATGGAGCTAGATAGCTCAGTTGGTTAGAGCATGGTGCTGATAATGCCAAGGTTGCAGGTTCGCTTCCTGTGGGATAACTGCATATTCCTGTATTGCAGGGGGTTGAACTAGAAGTAGATGATACTCAGGATCCCTTCCAACTCTACAATTCTTTGACTCCACGATTCTATGAATTCACCTAAGTCATACCCAAGATAGACATACTGAACTCAATGGACTCATAACCAACTTTAGCAGTGCCTTTATTCTAGAAAAATGGTCTAGTACTCACAATGAAGTACCCTTCTTTGCTAACTGGCTGCAGCTGATGCTGGGTGGGCCGTGCTTCCAGCTGGGCTCAGCGTGGAGTGAGCGCCCTCTGAGTGCCCAAAACTGGGCTGGCCACTGCTGGAAAACATGACCTTCCACCTCTGTGCCATCCATGATGACTTCAAGGAAGCCAGAGTCCTCTTGTTGCTGCCCGGCTGCCACAGACCTGGCCCATCTGCTGCCCGCTGATCTCTTTCACCTGGCTGAGTGTTGTCAGCAGGCACAGTGGCACCTGGCATCTTCCTGCAGCTATGCCACCACAGGACAAGGAAGAGGAGGAAGTGCCGCTGTCAGGAAGTGCCGCTGTCAGGGCCAAGGGGCCCACTGCCATGGGTGCAGGAGAAAAGGCACACCCTCTTCACACACTTTAGTAGCCAAGATTTGGTGAGTACCACCAGAAAAAAAAGGACAGAACTTAAGTAAAAAAATTTCAGTGGGTCTGGTCTTGAGTATGACCGGACACAAACCTTAATATTCAGTCTGCAAATGTGAAAAGTCACCCATACTCTCATCACACCGCACTCTTTTTAGTTATCCGATTTCCACAAGCCGTGTCACCTGCAAAGAATCAAAGGGCATTTTTTGCTTCAGGCCTCCCCCGTGACCATTTAACCCTTGCCATCTCTTTCTCCCATTAATGACAAAAAGAACTATACACAATCTGAAAAGATCAGGAGGAAAGTTCATAAATGCTGCCTGCAAATGCTACTGAGGGGAAGGCCACCTTAAAGGCAAAAGCCAATGCTGTTTCATATGTCTCTAGGCTTTGTGAAGTAGCATTTCCAGACTTGCTGTCATCATGACATTCAGAGCAGGCTTAGTCACATTCTCTCGGATACCCAGCAGGTGGACCAATAAACAGAGAAGCTTCTCATTATATGTATGGCACACAATTGCATACTTACCTCACTCGTGAACAATGATGGCAGGTGTGAGGCTGGGCAGTGTGACAGGGCCCATCATTCAGGAAATTGTCATTGCAGGAAGACAGCACATTCTGGTCTGTTCTTAGCATTAGTGTGTTTGGGGGATGGTTTATTATTATTCATTTTATAAAGAACATAATTCATACTGTAGTTCAGCTGAGAGGGTAACATCTTAAGCCAATTTATTTTCATTGAGTTCAACGGGATTATTTTTATAAATCTTACTGGATTGTGGAAATGAGGATATTCCTTGAGACAAAAATAATTACATTGACCAATGTTCATGTAACTGGCTCTCCCAATAACAGTTTAGTTTATTATTTTTAAAAAAAATAATTTTATTGAGTTTTTTAGAATAATAGACCAAGGTGAGTTTATGCACTGTTGCACACAACATGTACCTATTACAAAAGACAAAATGTAACATAAAATGGAATGCCAGCAATTCATAATAATAGTTAAGTTTATTACATTTTTATATTACTTCAGGGTCCTGAATTATAAAAAAATAAAATACACAGTAAATTCAATATAACAAAGCAAATGTCAAATACTAAAAGAGTTCATCCGGAGTAAAAGTAATCTAAAAGTACAAAATATCCATACCCCCACTTCCACACAGAATGCACACCAGTAGCAACCAAAAGCCCAACTAAGAGTGCTGTTCAAATGCCATGGGGAATAAAAAATATTTGCCTGGGTATGAGAGCATTCCATAGTCAGGGACATTAATTTTTCGCCTGTGCCAACACCTGCCTCGAAATACAGGGACAGCTTAACTAGAAAGTATTCCCACGGAAATAAGTTTGCAAAACTGAGAAACCAGTTCCATTATATAGCGATAAAGATAACTAACTGAGCAGTCATTAAAGACTTCTTCATTTTATCTGTATGCCACTTTTCCATAGTTAAAAAAACCATGCTCAAGGTGGCTTACAACATGAAAAACTTATGTAATTACGAACATAATGAAAGTAGTCATAAAGAATGAATAAAACGTCAAAAAGTACACAACCAAATTGAACAATTTCCATATGAATCATTGTAGCCTTATGAGGCTTTGCCCTCGGGTGGGAAAAATATTGCGCCTGGGAAAGGGAAGTGGGAGTCAACAGACACTCAAGGAATAGTTTCGGAGAAAAGGCTTTTATTTCTACCATCCATGAACTGGTAGAAGGAGCAAGTGTGATAGTCCACAAAAAGCATGCACGAAGTTCACAATCATGTGCACAAGCATATATACCCCTTTCCAGTTCCCTCCTCCTTTCTCCTCCTTCCAGAGTCCTGCCCCATGAGTTCCTCTGAGCATGAACAGAAAGCTGTCTTGGGACTATTGGACTCTTCCCAGGAAAGGGGGAATGAGAAGCCGAGGGGGTGGGTTGAGCATGTCCAAGATGTTGCAACCGAATGAGATAAGATTTGTTTCTCAGGCCTGAGTATTCTTGGCAATGACAGAGCCTATTCATTAACCTTTAAAAGTAACATTTTGCCTTTTGCCACAGCATCTTGTGACAAAAGCAGAGAAGAGCAGAGAAAAGCTGTTTTGGATTTTTTAGAAGACAAAAGGAGTTTTGGACAGTTTTGAGGCCTGGTGTGATTATGGAAGCCTGGGGTGATTTCAGACAGGATTTGGGTATTCTGTCCCTTCATCATAATATCTAAAATAAAGATACAAAATACCAGCAACAGCAAAAACCCCACCCAACAAAAAACCCTAAACAATCCCTCAGCTTGGATTTCCTCTGTTATAGCAGAGCATATTCTTTTGTAGATAGAAACCACTTTATTCAGCACATGCTGCTGTTAAAGTTTGTTTTATCTGATTGATTCCTTCACTGAAATTCAAATATAGCAGTTGTGAATTGCAATGCAAACATTTTATACTTGGTCTGTTATGCTGAGTAGGTAGATAGGAGCTATCACCTCAAATACCCAGAGATGGTGAAGAAAGATGCAGGTATTACATGTTCTACACCAGAGGTAAGCAGACAACAGGTTTCTGATATTTACTTTACTTTTTTTTTAAAAAACTATATTCCCAAAGTCCACCAACTGCAGCCAGGATCACAATCGTGGTTTGGGTAATGCCCATGGAATTAAAGCAGCAGGATGCGTCTGAGCATATGTTCAGCCCAGGAATTTGCGTTCAATACCAGAATAGAGCACACAGTAATTCCATACATAAAACTACTCTGGCTTTTTTCTCGCGCTTTCTTCATTAGAGAGACCTAATTTAGAAAGAAAATGCCTTTTGCTGTGGCTTTTTAAAAAAATAATAATAATCGGTATATGTGTCCCCAAAATCCTTGATGATCTACTACAAGTCATCTAGAAATTAGCAAACCCTGATCTATCTTCTGCCTGCCCTTCTCCTGTCCGGTCTTTTCCTTAACCACCTCAGTTGCTTTGAGTGGGTTTGAAATTTCACATGTCTGTGTATTGAAAATTCAAAATGTGCCTACTGAAATAGAAAAATATGCTGAACTCTTATGAGCCACACCTAAGAATTAGGGCTGATTCCTTTCCCTGTACATGCAAGTATATTCTGAGTAAGGTAATGCATAGAATCATGTTCTAGGGAAGAGCTGGATGTGCCACATGCAAATATGTTTTTCTTCTTAGGGAGTGGGTAAGTGAAATGTCTCTTGGGATCCTGTTTCTACTATACATGCTTTGAAAATGGCACCTAAGTGTTTTCTTAGCATGGAAGTCATCTTTGGAGATTTCCATGTATTGGGTGTTGATAGCAACCATCCATCCTTGCTTCTCTGTTGCAGCGGCTGCCTCACTCCTATGAACCGCACAATCCGAGACAGCAGCTGGGAACTGTAATAAGGGTCTGACGCATGGAAGTGCTGCCAAGCAACCAAATTTTGTTTTTTTGGATTCACATCCAGACATACAACCTGAGTAACAGGTCAAATTTGTATTCCTGTGCCCTGTGTCAGATGTACTATTAAGTTGATTGACGGACTGAAGGCATCACTTTCTGTGTATATAAAGAAGTAAGTGCAAATCCTTGGCTTGTTTCTGATCTCTGTTTCAGGGTGTAGGTGAATGAAAACGATACTTGCTGACATCTGAGGACACTCAACAAGACACCCAGGTATCAGTACTAACATGTGAGAGGCAGTGTATTTAAAAATAGTATTTTTATAAGGTAGAGAGAGAGACCACAGCTCTGGTCACTTGCCGAACGCATTGGTGAAACGCAACTCTAATGGGTATTGAAAGAGCATATTCTTGCTCTGCTGAGACCAGACACTCCTTTTAAAGCATGTGGGAGAGGAAGGCTCTGCGGTTGTTAAAGCAGGGAATTGCTTTAGCAGTACCCATCAGAGCAGGGCAGGCAAATCTGTGACCCTCCGGTTGTTGTTGGACTACAGTTCCCATCATCCCTAGCCATCAGCCATGCTGACTGGGACTGATGGGAGTTGAACAACTTCTGGAGGTCCGCATTAGGTAAAAGGTAAAGGGACCCCTGACCATTAGGTCCAGTTGCGGACAACTCTGGGGTTGCGGAGCTCATCTCACTGTATGCCGAGGGAGCCAGTGTACAGCTTCTGGGTCATGTGGCCAGCATAACTGAGCCGCTTTTGGTGAAACCAGAGCAGCGCATGGAAATGCCATTACCTTCCCGCCGGAGCGGTACCTATTTATCTACTTGCACTTTGACGTGCTTTTGAACTGCTAGGTTGGCAGGAGCAGGGACCGAGCAACAGGAGCTCACCCCGTCGCGGGGATTCGAACCACCGACCTTCTGATCAGCAAGCCCTAGGCTCTGTGGTTTAACCCACAGCGCCACCCGTGTCCCTCCACTTCTGCAGTACTCTTGTCTTTTTGCTGAAGAGGAAGGCTGGGACAGGTGTTGTGTGCATGTATTGAGTGTGGGTGAGAGAGACAGAATGGTTTGGGAACTGTTTCTGTGACTACAGCGCCGGAGGCCTTTGTGTGTTCACTTTAGGAGGAAGTTGCTCCATTCGGGGATTTCAGATATTTCCATTGTGCTTGTAGATTAACTAATCCTGAATTTCATCTTTCCATCTTTAGATATCTCCATGTTGTTAATGAGAAAGTGTCCCACTTTCAGTAGTGACAGTAGAAGTGAACAATGACTGCTTCAGCAGAGCATTCATTTGTAAGGGAAACAGCTGCCTTTGTATGGACCCATCATACCTATATATTGCGGGATAACCAGCTTCATATAACCAGTATGCTTGAGTTAATTTATGCATGAAGGGGTTAATGCTATAGAGTAAGCTGCCCTGCCAGGCTTAGCTAGGTCACATAAGGAGTACTTAACATGACAAAGGGAAAACTAAATAGGGGTGTGCATTCTTGAAATATGATGCCATCTGGGCTACATTCTGAAAACATCCAAGCATGCTTCTGTGTGAATCACTAAGCCCTAAAACATTAAAATACTCTCAAACATGAAGCTGACATTGCTGGATCAGAATTGATAGTATGACTAAGACTTGCATATATATAAAAAGGCACCGACCGATGTTCTTCCTATTTCTTGGCATGACATATAAGACAGAATTGATCTTATGTGTACAACCTTTAGTTTATGTAACGTGAAAAACAGAAGAAAAGTCAAGCACTAAAATACATCTTAAAAGAAAAAACCTATTCACTTATACATGACCTTCAAAAGGCAGCACAAAGAAATACATCTTACAATGTTTCCAAAATACACAATTTCTTCAAGCGTGCATCCTCTCCATTTTGTCCTTCATTTAGGCAACTCTCAGTGTGTGCATATTGGAGTTATCTAGAAGAATCACTTGCTGACAGACCTAAAGGGAAGGGGAGCATTTCTAAATTGAGATCTCTATCCCTGTCATGTACGCAAAACAATGCTGAACCAAAAACAAAATCAGTGACTTTTTCTTGGCTGGGAATTTTCAAGATAACAGAATAGGCAGGGAATTTCAAGAAACTTCGAGAACAAACACTTAGTCTTGACACATTTGCTGAGGAGAATAGGAGAGGTACACTTAGATTTCAGAACAGGGCTAAGTTGTAGAGAAATATTCTGAATGGAACTATGTATTTATTTATTTTGTATAACACAACTGTTCTCTGACAACTTCACAATTTAAAGAAAATAAAAATAGAATCAACAGTGCTAAGATAGAATCAAATATATAAAAGCAATATTAGGACAAAATTAATTTTAAAAGTAGAATAAAACCACACAACAGCATAAAACCAAGGTGCAGAAGTTTGGAACCAACTAGGGAAAAATAAAATGGTCCCCTAAAAAAAGCCCGAGAGAAGAGAGGAATCTTTTTTTTTTTTTTTTTTATAATATTTTTTATTGCATTTTTCCAGATAGAAATACAAGGTCAGATATACAAAGAAATAACAGAAAAAAGAAAGAAAAAGAAGAAAATCATCTTTTCAAAGCATTTTTCCATAACCAACCGGACTTCCCCGTCCCCCTCACCTTGCGTTCTTTACAATAAAATTTTTCAGCAAATTATAACCTTATTTCGTGCATTCTTTTGTTCTTTCAAATACTTGTGATTTACGTTTAAAATGCTTATTGTCAATTTGCACTAATAATATATATAATGTTCTTTTAAACGTTAGTCTTTTCATTAAAATAGCTTAGTTTCCCATACCTTAATCTTATTGCTGGAGCTGAATTTCCCTAATCATGCGAATTCTTAACATTCATATAACTTATAAAATTTTTGTAAATAATCTTTAAATTTTTCCAATCCTCCTCCATTGCTTCTTCCTCCAAATCTCGGATCCTGGCAGTCATCTCAGCCAATTCCATGTAGCCCATCAATTGCGTCTGCCACTCTTCCAGTGTGGGTAAATCTTGAGTCTTCCAGTGTTTTGCGATAAGAATTCTTGCTGCTGTAGTTGCATACATAAAAAGGTTCTATCCTTCTTTAACACCTTCTGACCGACAATGCCCAGTAGGAAGGCCTCTGGTGTCTTGGGAAAAGTGTACTTAAACACTTTGTTTAACTCATTATAGATCATTTCCCAGAAGGCCTTCACTTTTGGGCAAGTCCACCAGAGGTGAAAGAATGTCCCTTCAGCCTCCTTACATTTCCAACATTTATTATCAGACAAATGATATATCTTAGCTAGCTTGACTGGGGTCATGTACCACCTGTATATCATTTTCATAATATTCTCTTTCAAGGCATTACATGCCGTGAATTTCATACCAGTGGTCCATAACCTTTCCCAGTCTTCAAACATAATGTTGTACCCAATGTCCTGAGCCCATTTTATCATGGCTGATTTGACTGTCTCATCCTGAGTGTTCCATTTAAGCAGCAAGATATACATTCTCGAAAGTACCTTGGTCTTTGGTTCCAACAATTCTGTCTCTAGTTTCGATTTTTCCACCTGGAAACCTATTCTTTTGTCCAACTTGAAAACCTCTTGAATTTGAGCATAGTGAAGCCAATTTTGCACCTTATTCTTTAATTTTTCATAACTCTGCAGCCTCCAAGTTTCTCCTACTTTTTCTATAATTTCCCCATATTTCAGCCAACCAACCTCCATATTAGGTTTTTCCGGGCCTTGGCCTCTGCTGGTGAAAGCCACCTCGGAGTCTTACCCTCTAATAAGTCCTTGTATTTTGTCCAGACCATAAATATTGATTTTCTAACAATATGATTTTTGAACATTTTATGAACCTTTACCTTGTCGTACCACAAATATGCATGCCAGCCAAAAGCATTATCAAACCCTTCCAGATCTAGAACATCAGTGTTCTCAAGAAGTAACCAATCTTTCATCCAGCAGAAGGCCGCAGCTTCATAATATATTCTCAAGTCCGGCAGGGCAAACCCCCCTCTTTCTTTCAAATCAGTTAGTATTTTAAACTTTATCCGGGGCTTTTGCCCTGCCAAACAAACTTAGATATATCCTTCTGCCACTTTCCAAAACATTCCACTCTGTCCACAATCTGTAGGGTTTGAAACAAAAATAACATTTTCGGCAATACATTCATTTTTATAGCTGCAATTCGACCCAACAAGGAAAGTTTCAATCTTGACCAGATTTCCAAATCTTTTTGATTTCCAGCCAACATTTTTCATAGTTGTCTTTAAATAGATTCAAATTTTTCGCTGACAAGTGAACCCCTAGGTATTTTACTTTTTTTACCACACTTAGTTCTGTTTCCTTCTGAAACCCATCTATTTCTGAGGGTGTCAAGTTTTTCCCCAAAACCTTAGTTTTTTGCTTATTCAACTTAAATCCCGCCACCCGACCAAACTCATGAATCAATTCTAATACTCTTTTTGTACTAGATTCTGGCTCCTGTAATGTTAAAACCAAATCATCTGCAAAAGCTTTCAATTTATATTGTTTCACTCCGACCTGTATTCCTTGTATCAACCGGTCCTTCCTAATCATGTTCAGTAACACCTCCAGGACTGAAATAAATAAAAGAGGGGATAGGGGCACCCTTGTCGTGTCCCTTTTTCAATTTTGAACTCATCTGTCACCACATTGTTCACTATCAGTTTAGCTTTTTGCTCAGAATAAATTGCTTCTATTCCATTTTCAAACCCCCGTCCCACTCCCATCCCTTCCAGGTTTCTCTTCATAAATATCCAAGAAATATTATCAAAGGCCTTCTCCGCATCGATGAAAATTAACACAGCTTTCGTATTGATATTAGTTTGTAAAAGTTCCAAAATATCAATAATGTTCCTGGTATTATCAAAAAGATGTCTCCCTGGGAGAAAGCCTGCCTGGTCCTTATGAATTACTTCGTTAAGTATTTTTTAAGTCTGCTCGCCAAAATATCAGCAAAAATTTTGTAATCCACATTTAGGAGTGAGATGGGACGGTAGTTCTTAAGCTGAGTCTTTTCAGATTCCAATTTAGGAATCAATGTGATGAAAGCTTCTTTCCACGTTTCCGGTGCCCTCCTCCCCTCCATAATCTGGTTACAGACCTCCATTAGTGGTTGTATCAAATAGTCTTTTAGTGTCTTATAGTACTTGGAGGTAAGTCCATCTGGGCCTGGAGATTTGCCTAGTTGCATATTCTGAATGGCACCCTCTATTTCCTGTCGTGTTATTCTATTATTTAAGATTGTCCTCTTCTCCTGAGATAGTTTGGATAGACCGTTAACTTTTAAAAATTGATCTATCTCAGACACTTCCTGAGGCCCTTGAGTATAAAGTTTTTGAAATATTTCTGGAAACACTTTCTAATTTCTTCTGGTTTCTGAATGTTTCTCCCTTCCACCTCTAGATTAGTGACAAAGTTCAATTTTTGTCTCTTTTTCAACTGCCATGCTAGCAGTTTTCCACATTTATTTGCCGATTCAAATGATCTTTGTTTCATTTGTTTGATTTTCCATTCCACTTCTTGATTTATCAATTTCGCATATTGAGCTTGGTGGAATTTGATTTCTCTTAGAACCTCTTTTGATTTTGGTTTTAATCTCAATTTTTTCTCTCCTTCTCTTATCTTCTCTAATATCCTATCTTTTTTCCCATTCCAAAGTTTTTCTTGATTGTGTTCTGTTGTATCAGAAACCCCCTCATTACAGCTTTACTTGCGTCCCAGATTGTTCTCTTTTCCACCGAAGTGTTCAAATTGATTTCAAAGTAGTCCTTTAAGGTTTTTTGGGCCTTCTTCACAATCTCCTGATCTCTTAGTAGGGTGTCATTCATTTTCCATCTGAAAGAACCGGTTGGAGTAAGTCTCAATTCTACTTTCAAAGCATTATGGTCGGAGCAAGTCTTTGGACAGATTTCCACTTTTCTGATCTTAGGTGCCAGTCCTCTAGTTGTCCATATTTGGTCGATTCTTGTCCATGATAGGTGGGCCTCAGAAAAGAATGTTCCTTCTTTACCTAAGGGGTTCCTTGTCCTCCAAATATCAATCAAGTCCATGTTATCAGTTAGTTCAAAGAAGGTTTTAGGTAGTCTGCCGTCTTTAGTTAAATTTTGATTTTGTGACTTATCCATGTGAGTAGAAACCACCCCATTCATATCGCCCATCATTATGATGTTGGTATAGTCCAGATAGTCCAGCATTATCTCATGCAGCTTCTTGTAAAATTCCGATTTCCCCTCATTTGGTGCATATATTCCTAAAATCAAAAACTTTTCTCCTTGTGTTTGTATCTCAATTGCCAAAATTCTTCCTTGCTCATCTTTAAACAAAAATTTCGGTGACAGGTTCTCCTTTGCATAAATCACTACGCCTCTTTTCTTCACTTTGTCTGATGAAATAAATTCTTGGCCTAGTCTTTTGTTGATTAACACTTTCCTATGGAGCCTAGTCACATGCGTTTCTTGCAAGCAAACAATATCCAATTGTTCTTTTTCAAAATATGAAAAATCCTTCGTCTTTTTCCGGGAGTTCCCGCCATTTATATTCCAACTGTACAGCTGCAGAGACATTCTGAATCAATCTGTTGTTCCTATAGTGGGGTGTCTTCCTTTTCTTCTGGCCCCGAGGGTGTAGGTATCGGTGTTTTTCCAGGCAGTGGCGGTGGCCAAGAGGCTGCTGCTCCCTTCTGAAGGTCTTCTCCGTGGTCGTGCAGGAACTTCTGGTTATCTTCTGATGTTTTAATCTTAATTTTCTTTCCTTTAAAATTAAAAGATAAACCTTGGGAAACTCCCACCTATATGGAATCGCGTTTCCTCTCAGTAGTCTTGCTAGGTCTGTATATGTGGCTCTGAGATCCAAAAGTTGTTTAGGAATATCTCTATAAAATTCTGCTCTTTTTGCCTTGGATATCAAGTGATTTCTTAAAGTGGAGGCCTAGTATTTTATCTCTCTCCTGCTTGGATCTCAAAATAATCAAACAGTCTCTGGGCTTGTCCCTCCTCACGACTCTTCCTAATCTAAACGCAGTTGTGATCTTGAAATCTTTGTCCTCTTCTATACCCCAGAACTTGGAAAATTCTGCTGTCAGATAACCAATTAAATCTTCCTGTTCAAGCTCTGGGATAGCTCTTAATCTCAGATTGTTTTCCCGGTTTCTCAATTCCACCATAGACAGGTAAGCCTGCTGATCACTAATGTGCTTGTGTAGTGGCCTTACCTCCCCTTTTATAGCCTCAACTTTTTGATTTGCTTGTTCTGCTTTTTCATTGGCTGCTTCAGCCAGTCTCCGATTTTCCACAGTTGCTTCCTTGAGATTCTATCGTGTTGACAGAATTGGCTTTTAAAAAGAAGGAGAAAAGACTTTTATTTCTAAGTGTTTTGGACTTTAAATGGGACTTTCCTCCCCTTTATGGATTATAAAGAATTAAGAACCAAACCTCGGACTGACAGGAAAAAAAGAGCTGTCATTGCGGAAACTGTATCCAAAATAGAGACTGTTACAGTTGAGTGATACTGGCAAGATACAATTAAATAAACTGTTACTGGCACCTTTTATCTGAGACTTTGTGGCAGCTTGGGAAGTGCTCTGTAAGCTAAAAAGTTATGAAGGACTTTTGGTAAATTAGACTGTTTTGGGGCGGCAGGGACTTTAATGGCGGATAAAGTTCTTTCCTTTCTATGAACTACAGTAATACTCCCCCTAGTGGAGTTCTGGAATTACAAGTGCCTGGGAACAAATTTTGTTTGTACTATCTGCTGCTCTGTTATTTACACTTTGGAACTGTCCTTCCCATGGGACAATATACAGCTTGACCTTGACTCATAGACAGGTGTGGAATGAGTGGCCAACCGAAAACAAGAGCTGCTAAAACGAAAGCAAGACAAGCCCAACTTGTGCAAACAACTTTGACTACTCAGTCACGTAGATCATCTGTCCCAGCTGTTTTGGGAGTACAAGAAAAGGAAATTGCACAGCCTGCATCAGAGGATATGGCAGAGGGAGGATCAGATACCTTCTTAAAACAAATGCTAGAACAATTTGCAATATTGAACAAGAAGGTGGATGACCAATCGGCAAAAATAGATCAAGCCACATCCTCTATTACTAAATTGTCTGACCAAGTTGCACAACATACACGAGAAGAGAGGAATCTTCACTTGCTGTAGGAGATTCTAGGCAAGGGTCTCCGAGGGGAGCATTTCATCACCATAGTACCGCCACCAGAAAGACCCTCTCTACTTCTTCTATATTATAAACCACTGGGATGATGTGGGGTTCACAAGACATGTCAACCAGATGTGAAGGATCACCCATGTTTCAAAAACCAAGTTCTGTAATGATCTGTGCATTTTTCCTCCTGGTCTTGCAGATCCAGAACTCTTCTCTGTCCAGGTCTAATATTAAAGTAATATATCCACTGTGGCAGCTTTCTTTGCATTGAAAAGCAAGGTGTTTTCCCCCCCATTTGGGGAGATAGACCTTGATCGACCTTGAACAACTGACCCTCCAAGTGAAACCCAACCTACCACAGGTCACAGTGCTCTCATGCAAGAGCACTATACGCTCCCCATGTTAATTGGTGATGGTAATGTGTGTCATTGGAATTTCCACCTTGGGCTCCCAAACTCCTTGCACCAGCATTAGAGTGAATACCTCCAGCTTAACCCATAACAGATGGGCAGGAGATATTGAAGGATGCAGTTCCTTTTACTCATTGACAGCCCAGCTAAGGAGGAAGAAAGGTTGCTAGGGGGTGCAGATCTCACAGAGTCTATAAATGCTCCAGGACTCTGCCAAAGAGAATCTTGGCAGGAATGTGAGGGATGAGTTTCACTTCATGGCCTATAAAGCCCTTTGGGATCCTCTGGGGTGAGAACTGCTGGAATGCACAGGATTCAAGTTATCACCCAGCCTGTAAATCTTTGGGATCCCAAGGGAAATGGGGTGCTATATAGCTTGGGAGGTTAGTCCATAAACCCTTTTAAGTATCTGGCTGGGAGTGGAAGTGCCTTGCTGTGTGAGGTTTACTTTAAATTTTCACAGCTTGTGAGGCCCTGAAGGATCTTGCAAAAGGGCACTTGACTTCCCAGACAGTGTGTGTCTCATGGGGAAATTTAAGGCTAAGCTTTCCAGTTAATATTTTCATGCTGGTCATTATTTGCCTGCATATTAGCAGCTCAGTTTGTTATTTCTCCATGGTATAGGCAGTGAATCTCTACCTGTCCCAGACTTTCCAGTTGCTGTCCCAGACTTTCGCAGACTCATAAAACATGAAAGCACAGAACTGAGTTTATTGGAAACTGTCATTAGTATTTATTTTGTTATTATTGATTATAATAATTTATTAACCCGTTAGAAAGATGTATAAACTGCTGAAATCACAAACAAAAACGAGTACGATAGTTCTAAGAAACAGAAGGAAACATTCAATATTGCTCACAAGTGAACTCGTTTTGAAAAAGCCTTTTAACAACAAAAGGTGTTAGCATCTCACCAAATGTATATGACGCTGTCATCTAAACATACTGTAAAAACATATAAAGCAGTTATAACCAGACGTCAAGTAACCATTGTGGAAGGATGTATTCTTAATTGCCTGCATAGGCTGGGTGGAATAAAAAAGTTTCCAGCAGCTATTTAAAAGTTGGCACAGAGGGTGTCCACTGAATCTCTCATTGACAAAGCACTCCACAGGACTGAGCTGATGTTTCTTGTTGTCAAAGGAGCCTCACCAACTTGTAGAATAACCGACACTCCTGCAGATGACCTTAATGATCGAGCGGGGATATAAGGGTTCTTAGCATCCTATGTTTGGAGACCAGGGCTGGCCCACCCATGAGGCAAGCTGAGGCAGCCACCTCAGGTGGCAGGATCCACAGGGCTGCAGATCCAGCCTCCACAGAATGCATCATGCCCCACCATTGTGTTCCTACGGTGGCCGATCAGATTCTTATGGGAAGCTACAAGCACTAGTACTCAAAAGCTTCTGATACTGCAGATGGCATATAGCCAGACTGAATAGCCACAGATAGTCTTGTCCTCCCTGAATTTGTCTAATACTGGTTTAAAGCCGTATAAATTGGTGGCTATTACCCTTATGACTTAGTAGATTTAATCATCTCTGGTGCTACCACTACCCCATCCTCATCTGCTCTGAGGGTAGGGAGCTCAAGGAACTTGCAATGTACACATCTGTCTTATCCCCGCACTGAAGGGTGTCTCTCACAGTATCCTCTCCAGTAGGGCTAATTTTGTCTGACATGTGTGAGTTTGTAGGATGCTATGTGGTTTTTGAACCTACCAGTGAAATGCACAAATCCGTCAAGGTCTGCAAAGTGAGAGCACGAAAGGAGAGAGTACACCCCCACCAAGATACCTGATACTGCAAACTCCAGAGTAAACTTAGCATGGCCTTTTGGAAAGTACTCCATGTGGTGAGGCACATAGTAAATTACTGCTTCAAATGCCAACAAATACTTAGGGATTATCAGAACTTATTAAACAAGACTTCCAAACTGATTGGGCAAGAAAGCTTCCAGCCTTAATTATCTCCTGGCAAACCTAAGCAATGGCCGACACAGCCCCCTTATATTCCACTGGGAACAGAGATGATTTATTGTAATCATTCTTCCAACATGGAAATAGCTACATGTGAATGAGAATTTCACAAAGTCATTGAGAACGCTGCAAGGTATTGAGGGATACTAGAATTTGTCATCACTGGGACAGACACAACAGTCATTCATAACAAGCTCTCCAACAATGCCTAATGAGAAAGTACAGCTTCTGTGCAGTTGTGTATGTGTGTCAAGCTTACCTGTCAACTGAAGGCATTCTAAGGCCACCGTAGCCATGAAGTTAATTGTGCAGGTGCGGTTAACATGCACATTTCTTGTTTTGTAAATTGCAGCTTAGGGGGAGCCTAAACAGTCTCAGGACAGGGGTGGTGTGTAAATAGAGGCTTTGCTGAAGTGGTTTTTGTTGGGATCATACCAGGGGGGGAGAGGCTGCATACACACCTATCTATTTGCGGCATAAAAAATTAGTTTTTCTCAATACGGAATAGTTTGTTCTCATCCTTAGCATGCTAATTTCAATCTGTATCGATTCTGGATCCTGCTATCCAAAAGGATGTATACGGCTACTTGATATGTATTTCAAAATCCTTCCCGATTAGGGTATCCATGTCTTTTCCTCCT